TATGGTTGTATTATCATTTTTTGGATTCATTTGATAGAATGGAAGATATATTACAGAAATAGACATGATTTTGATTGCTTTCATGACGAAAAGTACCTTGAAATTGAGCTCAAAGTAGCGGAAATGTTTGATTTTTGCCGATGTTCAATGAACTGTGCAAGTCAAGTTGGTATTCTAACCTAACCACTCTGTAATTCGGCAAACTCAGTAATCCGGCACACTACAGGTCCCAATGATGCCGGATTTGTGATGGAGGACCTGTACTTAACTAATTTATCTTACTTGCTTGAAATTGAGCTCACAGTAGCGGAAATGTTCGATTTTGCCAATATTCCAGAGTACACATATTAAGTCACTCGTCCAATTCGCATCCAACTGGTCAGTCTGATGTGTGTTCACAAATGTGCTGACATCATTTATTCAATTATTATAATAATGCAGTAGTGTGCATAACAGTAAATCTTCTATTTTTTGTGTGAATAAAAATTCAATATGGAAAGTAAGCATAATATAGGAGAGGCCTGGAGATGTAACTAATGAACAGAAGAAATATTGTTTTAGTGCTAGAAATGTCTACATTGTTTATTCTGGACCCTGTTTTTAAATTGGCAATTTTTGAATTGTGTGAAATTGGCCAAATTACCAATTTCTGGTCACTTTATTGGGTAGTTGAAATAGGTAAATGAGTGGTTTCTTATACTCGATCATTAGAATAGAAGGAATACTAGTGAAATATAATAGCTATGAGTTTGATCGATGGGAGCAATGGAATTGTCTGAAAATAAGGCTCATAGTAGGCAAAATCACCGATGCATAAATGTCGCTGAGACCGCTAACTTTGCAAGAGTGTAATTCTGTAAGTTTTCCATCGGATTTTGTACTTTTGGTTTTGCTACTTTCAGAAAAAGATTCTCTTATTTCATTTTTGTTTCCTCTGATCCTGAGTGGAGGTTTTAGATCAGGGGTTCAGACCCTTCTTCCAATAGAGTACATGACAGATTGTCTTGTCAGTGACCTAGTAATTCCTTCTGGAGACAGTATTTTCACAGTAGTTATTTGTATTTCTTCCTACCTTTATCTACATCACTTCTGTGTTATAGCCTCTAACTCCAAAGTGAGTCACAAGCAATTAATACTGATTTCTGTAATTAATTATTAACTTGTGTGTTTGTCACAGCAGCCTATGAAGTTTAACTGATTGCTTGTGATCTCATCCACGACACTTAAGCTTAACCCCACATTTTGGGCCCTGGTGATCAAGGTATAATATACTATCTGGATCTAAAATTCTAGAACTGTTTGAAGCCCAGTTGCTGCTACACCCCAAATTTCAGCAAAATCTGAGATGGTCATGGTAGGATCACTGGTTTAGTTATTGTGGAATGCAGATTTGGGACCTGACCCTCCAGTATCTTTCAGAGATCTCTACTCCATTCCAGAGAGTTCATTAAAAGTTCCTTAAGATATTGTCATTAGTTTAGATGTGTATTATTGACTTGTGTGGGCAGTAAAAGATGTCAACATTTTTCAGCTGTGTTATCTTGCCTGCCTTGAAAGATGGTCTGAAAACCTTTCAAGGCAATACCATCATTGGCATGACCTCTTGTTTGAACATTCTCACTAATCAACCCATACATATTTGCCTTATTGTGCTCTCTAGATGATGGCTCATGTGATATTTCAGTAAACCCTCAATATAATGGATTAATAGTGGACTGTCTGAGTGTCTGTTAAATTAGAATTATGTTCAAAGATAGCAAAAGCAAGCACTTAATACCCTACTGCACACCTAATATAGTATTGTACCCTCATTTTTCAGTAACATTTTAATAAATCTTGAAAACAAGAGTTAAAAGTACAATTTACCCAGTGGATTTTTCCATTTTAAGTCAATTGTGTGGAGGCCCATTATAGCAAAGGTTTACTGTATTATTTTAAGCCTTTCACATGTTCCTTTTGTTCTGCAAGATGGTCTTCCTGCATTTTTATATCACGTGTTTTTATTTCTTCATTCTTCCCATATCTGATGAATTGGAATTTGTCACCATTAATCTTCATGTTATTTTTCTTTGCCCGCTGATAGGCTTTGTTGATAATTTTTTTTTTTCCTGTCTTCTACCAAGATGACTTATAGTATCATCTGCTAAGGATGATACACAGCTATGGCTAATTTTTTTATTGGGAGTTGACGTGTCGGCGGATGGATTTGTGAAGGATGAGGTTAATCATAGAATTGATGAAGGAAAAAAGGTGAGTGGTGTGTTGAGGTATATGTGGAGTCAAAAAAACGTTATCTATGGAGGCAAAGAAGGGAATGTATGAAAGTATAGTAGTACCAACACACTTATATGGGTGTGAAGCTTGGGTTGTGAATGCAGCAGCGAGGAGGCGGTTGGAGGCAGTGGAGATGTCCTGTCTAAGGGCAATGTGTGATGTAAATATTATGCAGAAAATTCAGAGTGTGGAAATTAGGAGAAGGTGTGGAGTTAATAAAAGTATAAGTCAGAGGGCTGAAGAGGGGTTGTTGAGGTGGTTTGGTCATTTAGAGAGAATGGATCAAAGTAGAATGGCATAGAGAGCATTTAAATCTGTTGGAGAAGGAAGGAGGGGTAGGGGTCGTCCTCGAAAAGGTTGGAAGGAAGGGGTAAGGGAGGTTTTGTGGGCAAGGGGCTTGGACTTCCAGCAGCCGTGCATGAGCGTGTTTGATAGGAGTGAAGGGAGACGAATGGTATTTGAGATCTGACGATCTGTTGGAGTGTGAGCAGGGTAATATTTAGTGAAGGGATTCAGGGAAACCGGTTATTTTTATATAGCCGGACTTGAGTCCTGGAAATGGGAAGTACAATGCCTGCACTCTAAAGGAAGGGTTTGGGATATTGCCAGTTGGGAGGGATATGTTGTGTATCTTTATACGTATATACAGTGGACCCCCGCTTAACGATCACCTCCCAATGCGACCAATTATGTAAGTGTATTTATGTAAGTGCATTTGTACGTGTATGTTTGGGGGTCTGAAATGGACTAATCTACATCACAATATTCCTTATGGGAACAAATTCGGTCAGTACTGGCACCTGAACATACTTCTGTGTCAGCATAGTTGCTGATCCCTGTATTCCCTGTATTATATAGCATAGCATATTAGTATCATCCATGTGCTTTAGATACGAGATCCCTTGTAGGCCTGTGGCTTTGTGTGACGTCACAGGATGCACATGTGTAGGCTCATATCTCTGCCCCGCTCTCACTCGGCGGCAGACCATTCAGCAGACAGGCAAGGCAGCTGGGCTCCATCCCTCACCATCTCAGACTGACAATATAGTTACCATCCAACAAGTGTGTCTGCCTTCAACCTACGATATCTCCATTAAGGAACCCTTACGATAAATGGTGGCATCGGAGGGCCTGTAATTCTGACGATTACAGTGATTTCTGGAGATAAATTTTCGACCAGCAGACGGCCATTTGTGTCCCTAGTAGGCCTACCGAGGTTCACCCCAGCCAGCTACCTCAAGCCAGCTACTCTCCCAAGCTTCTACACCATTCACTGGTCAGTCTCTTTGTATTAGTGTGTCTGCTTATTTGCATCACTCCCGAGGGGTTGACCCGAGTTTGCAAAATAAGCCAGCTTCCAGTCTGTGGTGGGGGAGTCAGAACAACCGAGCCCAGTCGACCCTAGCCCTACTCCATCCATTCCTTTTTGCCTGCCAACCCAGCTTCCACCCCTGCTGTGCTCATCGTGTGAAGTTATCAAGCCATTCTGTGTGAAGGGTTAAGATAAGCCAGCTAGTAACTAACCCAGGTGTCTTACCCCAGTACTCAAGCAAGCCACGTGAGTAGTCTTCATCGCTTGTGATTCAAGCTCCAAGCATTCTGAGTGCTCTTTTTCATCCTTGTGGTGTTGTAGTATTTCGTGGGTTTATTTTAAGCCAGCCGGGTTAGAATTATCTTCGGGGCAGTGTGGTGTTTTTCAGTGAGACTTACGACGTTCAACCCATAAGCCCCGCCACTCACGATCACCTGTGTCGCACCATTGCCGGTCTCGGACGCCTCGCTCAGCCATTACCCACTCACCCTACTTCATCAGTGTTTTGGTGCACTGCTAAGGGTTGTAGCACCATATTTTAAGGACCACATAGGGGGTCAAGAGTAGAGTGTGTTCGCGCCACCCTTTTTAAAGCCTCCTGTGTGTGTGTATCGCCGATGTAAGCACAATTCTACGATCACCTGTGCAGAGGACAGCAGCAAGACCATATAAACAATCCATCAACCTCAAATTTTTCAAGTGTTACAGCGATAATATTTTTTTTTTAGAGACATTTGCGAGTGTTGAGACATTTCTTTTGTGTTTCCAGTGATTTTTCTCTTAGTGACATTCAGTGACTCTTGATCAGACTCAGTGTTTATCATGTACTGATTGCATTAATTTTCTTTTAATCTCCTTAATTTTAGTGTTAATTTTCGTGCATTATCTTATGTCCGTTGTGTTGTGTATCTTTTTATACACTTGAAGTAAGTACTTAGTGTTTTTCCTTTGTTGTGTGTGCAACATATGAGCAGTATAGAACTTGTGTTACACTTCAGAATCACCTTGTGTTCTCAGTATTCCAGTGAAGTATTTCAGTAATTTTTCACCTCATATTCTGCATCACAACTCAGTGTTGTCTGTTATTTTTTTTCTTCCCAGCAATTGTGTATTTTTATTTTGTTCCCTGTGTGTTGAACATTTGTGTGTTCATATTCATATTCATGAAAAAATATTGTTAACGGGGGTCCACTGTACTTCTAAACTGTTGTTCTGAGCACCTCTGCAAAAACAGTGATTGTGTGTGAGTGAGTGAGGTGAAAGTGTTGAATGATGAAAGTATTTTCTTTTTGGGGATTTTCTTTCTTTTTGGATCACCCTGCCTCGGTGGGAGACGGCTGACTTGTTGAAAAAAAAAAAAAAGTGTCATGAGGATAAGCAGTAAAAATGAAAGGGTGCTTTGTATGCAGACCAAATTAGCATTATATTTTGCCTCCTAAGCTTTTATTTTCCTTGTACATCATCCTTTGCATTCAGTGCTGCTCTTTCATTTTCAACAGTTACAAAAAGATTCTTTTTTTTCTGGGTCCCTGGGTGTTAAGGACATTGCTCCTGCAGATACCTTCTTATGTTCTTTCAGTTCAGGGCATATATATATTTACAGTTATTATTGCACCTTCTTATATACGGATCATCAATCTTTATTTTTAATTAAATTTTTTTTTTTTTGTTGTACCCCAAAGGTTGTATAGTAACCTCTAAACTAGGTTAAGAGCTCAAATATTATTTTTTGATCTAGAGAAGTAACTTTCAACCTTCTTATTCTAGATATGGATTATATTATTGCTGTGATAATTACTTTCCAATTTATGATGATCCAACGATATGTTTGTCTTGTAACCTTTAATTAATGTTGGTCATAACACTTGATCTATAGGTCAGACTGAGCTGAGTTTTGCAGAGGGAAATTTAGATAATACTATAACCTTGAGTATCAGATTTGAGCAGGTTTGGATATAGTAAGGTGTTAAACACTGGATGTCTTGCCCTGGAACTCACCTGGTCTGAGTTTAGTAATGAAGAAGCTGTTTTAACCCTTTTGCTGTCGAGACCCCTGCTCACAAACTTGCTCTTGGTGTCAAAGAATTTTCAGGAAAAAAAAAAAAACTAAAATTTCTTATGAAATGATAGAGAACCTTTTCATGGTGGTAAGGAAACCAAAACTGCAAAATTTAAGGGGAAACTTGTGGAATTACACATTATCGATTTTGCCCACTTTGAGCCCTATTTTCGGCCAATTCCATTGTTCCAGTCGACCAAACTCATGGCTATTTCGCTAGAACTACTTTTGTTCTATCGATTGAGTAAAGAAGCCGCCTATTTACCAATTTCAACTACCCAATAAAGTGATCAGAAATTGGTAATTTGGCCAATTTCATAAACGATTGAAGGAAGGCCATTTTCAAAATAGGGTCCAGAGTAAACTGTGTAAATATTCCTAGCACTAAAATAACATTTTCTCTGTTCATTAGTCACATCTCCAGGCCCCTCTATTACACTTGCATTCCTTTTTGAATTTTTATTCACACAAAAAATAAAAGATTTACTGCTTTGCAGTAATGGTATTGGACATGTGACGTGATTTGTTTGCTCATGAACATCAGCAAAAATTGAACATTTCCGCTACTTTGAGCTCAATTTGAAGGTAATTTTAGTCCCTAAACCATTCTGTAATTTATCTTCCATTCTGTCAAATGAGACCAAAAAAATGAGAATACAACCATAAATACCATATGAAAATGCACTGCAAAGTCGCTGTTGTAAATGAAAAACACTGTCGGATTTTTTTTTTCTCATGCACTGCGTGCTGCAGGATATTTTTAATACTGTGCACACAGACCATTCAGACCCATTCTCTCATATGTAGGCCTACCAGCTTTCTCCTGCAAGATTAGAAGTCGCTAGAATTTTGGCGTACTATTACGGGACTGACACTGGATTCCAAACCGTAATGTTACAGGACTAACAGTGAAAGGGTTAAAATGAAGTATCTCTTGTTTGTGGTCATCCTCTTTCGAGTGCTGTCAGTTTTGGGAAGATACTCACTCGACTGAGAGCTGGACAAATGAGAGACTTTTGGCCATCTTGTAGAGAAATACCTAGTGCCATCAAATATTGATTGATTGATTATTGCCTACAAGTATTGATTGATTGATTTTTGTACTTATCAAAGAAGAGGTTGACTCCATTTTCACCCTGTACTTCAAATCCTTGATGACCTCATCGTGGCTGTTTTCTTAAGTCTCACTTTCAGTGCAGACTGACTTAACTAATTACACCAATTTTTTTACTTGATGTCAGCCCCCTTTTTCCTTCCATGGGGCATTGAAAGTCCTATATGGGTTTAGCTTTTTTTTTTTTTGGTGACTAATAATAATACTCTTTTCAATACAGTTTTGAATGTGCTTGATAAAAATGTTGAATTAGTTTTGTCCAAGTGTACAGTGGTTCCTGAAATTGACCAAGTTTTTCTTTTTATCTAAATGTCAGTTAACCCAATTTTTATTTGGGTCCTTGTTTTATTTTCAGTTTAGTCAAATAGTGTTTTATATGCAAACTTTTGTTCTATATTAAATATGTTACTTTAGTTACATATTAAATATAGAACAAAAGTTATAAAAGTGTGTGTTTTGTGTTCATCACTTGCTATGTTGTTTACTGCAGCTGTGTCTGTGTTTTGAGGTGACAAAAGTGATATCAACAAAAAAGCAGATGGATTTAAGATGTTTGGTGACATTGGTATTCACTGATATAAAGTAGGAATAGGAGTGGGCTCAGGATTCAACTTTGAGGAACACCGATATTTATAAGTAAAGTTGAAGATGTTATAATGGTTACATATTGGTGTCTGTCATTAAGGTAAGATTTGATAAAGTACTTAAGTATGAATGACCTCTAAGCCTTTCATGTTTCAGTTAGAGTAGAATGTGATTAACAGTATTAAACACCTCTTGCAGATCATTGGACAGTTGGATATTTGTTTTTATGAAGTGTTTAGCATCTTGACTGTTTCAACATTGTTCATTTTTGTCCTGAAATAAAACTGGTATTGATGTAGAATATTGTTTCATTATATAAGGTATATTTGCTTATGTATTTTTTGTTCACCTTTTTTGTAGTATTGATAGATTTGAAATTGGCGTGTAGATGTGGACTAAGATTGAACTGTGCTCATAAAAGTAAGTCTGGTATTGTATGTATTAGTGCTAAAGATGTTTTGGAGAGAAATTCATTGACGTGTTCTGTAGCTTAGTTTTCTTTTTATTGCTGGGTTGATGAGGTGGTTTTTACTTGGTCATTGATGAGAAAAAAAGGGAGGGAAGGGTTTGCATTCTGACTCCCATTACCACTAGGTAAGCTTGCACATAACATTATAATATATGTGAAACAGAGCTATGAGCCTAGCCCACTTTGTGAATAATGGGCCATAGGATGTATAACAGTGCTTATGGATTGATGAATTTGTAGCAGTGGAACTTGAGTATGTTAATGGAGTACAGTGGACCCTCAGTTACCGATATTAATCCATTCCAGAGAGCTTGTCCTTAATCGATTTTATCATGATCTGATTTAATTTTCCCCATAAGAAATAATGGAAATCCAATTAATCCGTTTCTGCTGTCAGGAGGCATGACAGAATAGTACTTCAATATGACGCCATTATCAACTCTACAGCTTTATTTATCTATCACAATTCATCTAGTATGACATAAACAATATTAATAACATAGAAACATGATATATACTCTAGAATGAATAAAATGTCATAATGTATGAGAGGAGTAAGTGTTGGGTGTACATAGTGGTGGAGGAGGCTTCTGCCGTCACCACTATCCACAAATAATACAGTGAAACCTCGGCTTATGAATGCCCCACCATGCGAATTTTTCAGGATACGAAGAGTCACTCGATAGTTTTTTGCTTCTGGATACGAACGAAATTTCAGGATACAGACTTCCCCCTCAAGAGAGGTTCCTTGGTGAGGGGCTCTTGATCAAGGGAATTGGATCTGTGCTCCACTTCCCTGAATTATTAATAATAAATAATAATAATTTATTATTATTATACATGCGTACTAATGATAATACGCTGCAGCAGGCCTGTTGGCCCATACTAGGCAGGTCCTTCACAGATCCAACCCACTAATAGAATAAACGTACCCAAGAAATAAGTGTTGACAATTCTATTTACTCATCTTGACTGTGTGCTAATGGAGTTACAGGAAGCTGACATCGATGAAATGATGAACATTGACAATGATGGACCTGTTGTGCATTCCTTGAGTGATGGTGAAATTAGATGAATTGTGATATATAAATAAGCCGTAGAGTTGATTTTAACATATTGAAGTATTTTGTCATGCCTCCTGAGAGCAGGAATTCTGGTGGAATGGATTAATGCCATATCAATTAATTTAAATGAGGAAAATTGACTCAGCATACGAACAAATTGGGATACGAACAAGGTCATGCAACGGATTAAATTCGTAAGCCGAGGTTCCACTGTATGTATATGTACGTAATTTATAAATAAGAAATATTTACATCTTGATTTATAAATAAGAAATATTTGCACTTACCTTGGAGGAGATGTTAGTTTAATTATGTAGTTTGATGGAGTGTAGCGGGCATGCAGGGAGTGTAGCGAGCATGCAGGGAGTGTAGCGGGCATGCAGGGAGTGTAGCGGGCAAAGCAGGGAGTGTAGCGGGCATGCAGGGAGTGTAGCGGCATGCAGGGAGTGTAGCGGGCATGCAGGAAGTGTAGCGGGCATGCAGGGAGTGTAGCGGGCATGCAGGGAGTGTAGCGGGCATGCAGGGAGTGTAGCGGGCATGCAGGGAGTGTAGCGGGCATGCAGGGAGTGTAGCGGGCATGCAGGGAGTGTAGCGGGCATGCAGGGAGTGTAGCGGGCATGCAGGGAGTGTAGCGGCATGCAGGGGGTGTAGCGGCATGCAGGGAGTGTAGCGGGCATGCATGGGAGTGTAGCGGGCATGCAGGGAGTGTAGCGGGCATGCAGGGAGTGTAGCGGGCATGCAGGGAGTGTAGCGGGCATGCAGGGAGTGTAGCGGGCATGCAGGGAGTGTAGCGGGCATGTAGGAGGCAAGAGGAAGGAGAGTTTATTATGCTTCAATGTGACGCTAATATCTCTACGGCTTATTTATCTATCACAATTCATTTATTATGACATAATAAACAATATTAATAGCATAGAAACATGATATATACTCTAGAATGAATAAAATGTCATAATGTATGTGAGGAGTACTAAGTGTTGTAAGTGTTGTTGTTGGGTTTACAAGGGCCACTGAGAGAAGCCATACATATTAGTGGTGGAGGAGGCTTCTGCCACCACCACTATCCACAAACAATATATGTAATTTATAAAAAAGAAATATTTACATTTTAATTTACAAATAAGTAAGTTCATTGAGGTATATGCGAATAGTCAGGGCCCGGTTAAAAAAGTCTGGGCCCCTAGGCTATTAGATCGGCGGGGCCCCCTTTGGTTAGGGTAAGCGAAGCGACCCCTTCCAGCTTGGGGGTGGGGGTCGGTGTGACCCTGTTTAAGGTCTAATTAAAACTTTGGGGCTATTTAGATTTAAATTTAATGGGAAAGTAATCAAGAAACCAAAAACCTTTTTTTACCAATAGCCATTATAATATCTGTTAAAATCATGATTTTAAAGAGATAAACTCAAGAAAGCATAGTATCACTAGTTGGGCTTTTAAAGTATGTTCGTACCTATTATATCACATAACCCCTACAGCACTATTTTTCCCCTTTTTATAATCCTGCCATTTTGTTACATTGCATCATGCTAAGACTATCAAATCTATAAATCAAAAAGTAAAGAATGTTTAATTCACGGGACTTCTTAAAAACTTTTTTTGGATTTCAAGGCAAAATATCAATTAATTCTGAAAATCAATATTTTTTGTTAGATCAGGATCAGTGGTCAACAAGGCGGGTTTACAAATTTTCTTGGCTCATTGTTGAACGGAGGGGTTTTTTCATCTTTTAAAAACAGAAATAATTTTCCCCTTCAATTGTATGGGTGTTAGGTAAAAGGCATACACTATGTAACATTAGGGAAGGTTTCTGAATACCTGATTTTTTAAATGTTTCAAAGACTGAGGGTGCAATTTTTCGGGGGCTTTAATCTGATTCATATCCCCAGAAAAATGAATATTTTTCAAAAATGTGCCCTGAACATTGCTGAAAGGTGTTGTTGCAACTTTAATGCAGTTCTCTAATTCTGATTGGATAGTAGAAAATTTTTGAACAGAAATCCAAACTTGCATTGAATTCTGGTAGATTTTTTTTTTCTTTTCACCAATTTGAAATCATGAATCAGAATACGAAGTATGTAGCTGTTTACATTTCCCTTGAAGAAACCCAAAATTTCATTGTCGGTCTTAAAAATTGCTTTTCCCTCTTCCTTGACCGGTGATCACCCCGGTAACTGTATTTTTTTCACCAGCAGTTTAGCTTTCTTTTCAAACATTTCAAAAGCTTCATCATTGCGAAGTGAGTTACAAATTCCACAAAGCCGCTAGAGGTTAGCACAAGTACCCATTTAAATTTTCAATTTTCTGAAGGTCTTTTTTGGGGGCATTTAACCCGTTCCGTATCAGTCCCAAAGCACACGGGAAAAGGCCCAATTCAAAATTTTTCCAAATTTTTGTGCTAAGCGGGCTGCTTCGCTTCTTGTGTTGCTGTCTGGTTTTCATCCTTGCTTTTTGGGATCAAAGAGAACGTTTTTCAGCAAAGCTGTCTTTAAAAGATGTGTTGCATCATGCTGGTGACCACCTTGTTTTGATAAATGTTTTTGAGACACTCCATAAATGGTTGACTTGAGTATATCCCCCGTGCGTTGAAGAGAAAAAATTAGAGTGCTTAAAAAGTCCAAAAAAAATAAAAACTGCAGCGACACAACACTCCGCAGCACATGACCCCAACAAGATTAAGAGAATTGTGAGCGGGCACATATTCGGGAAAGTGGGTTGTTTTGCTGTGGGGCTTGCAATCCATATATTTACCCGACTTTTACTTGCTTTGTCTTTGTTTTGGCCACGGAAATCCAAAATAGAGAGCCCTGTTCAAGAGAGTATCCAGTACTACATTCATCATTTTTTCCCATCAGGGCCTGAAAGAGGAAGAATTTTATAAAGCCCCTTCAGGCTTACCACTGGAGTCGAAAAGCGAACAATGAATGTCAATTTTTTGTAGGGAAAATTTTGGGTTTTGAATCTACACTTATTGCAAAGTATTTGCAGTTTTCACAGCGCTATGATGTTATTGGGCCCTTCTTAGTCTCAGTTCAAAAAATTTCTTCATATGTAGATGACATGAAGTACAGGGCTCTTCCTCTTTTCCCCCAAGGGTGACACTGATTTGCTAAAAGGGATGAATTGTGCTAACAGTTCTATGATCCCATGAAATTGCCATTTTTTTCCGAACCAAAAAACCTCTTTTTCTCCCGGAAAGCAAGTTCTTAGAGAAGAATTTTAAAAGAAAACTCTTTCTAGAACTTTTCTCCAAAAGTGCGTTTTTTTTCAGTTTGTTTTTCCAAATGAGAATCCAATAAGTTTTTTTTCGTCACGAAATCCCGACTAAAATGCGCTCCTGTGTGGTGTGTTTTCATGTTCCTCAAAATTGCTTGGAATTTTTCCAGTCATTAAACCCCTGTGTGAAGGTTTTTTTTGGTTTGAAATAGTTGCTCTAACAGTAAAACTTTTCCCTGAGTTTCAGAGTATACCATCCATGATTTTTCACATTTCCGTTTTTGCAAGTTCCTAAAACCAGAGCTTTAAACGACGACGACTTCCCCTCATAAATCCTTGCTGTTTTCCAAAAGTCA